TTATCATTATATATATGTATATAAAACAAATTATTATTATTGTCTGAGCGTCATGCATTAAAGGTTGAATTGTAAAAGTTAAAAAAGTTTTAAAAGCATTTAAATGGGTCGTAGATATTTAGAAAAACCATTTTAATTAATTAAAAAGAGTAATTGCCACAACTATGGCAAATCAATATGGCATATTTCATTTTGAAGAGCTTTACATTTTAAATACCTGCATTCTAAGTTTTTAATGAAAGGAATTTAATTGCTTCGCCTTTCAACTTTCAGCGCATCGTCAAGCCGTATGCTAAGAATAATTATTTTCTAAGAGTATTACATTTTAAATACCCCGGATTCTAAGTTTTAAATGAAAGGAATTTAATTATTTTACATTTCAACGTTCAGCGCACCGTAAAAATGTATGTGCTGAGAGTAATTATTTTCTAAGAGTATAACATTTTAAATATTCGCATTCTAAGTTTTTAATGAAAGAAATTTAATTATTTTAATTTTCAACTTTCAGCGAACCGAAAGCGAACCGTATGTTAAGAGTAATTATTTTCTAAGAGTAATACATTTTAAATACCCGCATTCTAAGTTTTTAATGAAAGGAATTTCATTATTTTACATTTCAACATTCAGCTCACCGTAAAGCTATATGCTAAGAGTAATTATTTTCTTAGAGTAATGCATTTTAAATACCCGCATTCTAAGTTTTTAATGAAAGGAATTTAATTATTTTAATTTTCAACTTTCAGCACACCATAAAGCCGTATTCTAAGAGTAGTTATTTTCTAAGAGTAATACATTTTAAGTACCCGCATTCTAAGTTTTAGTTTAAAGGAATTTAATTATTTTGCATCTTAACTTTCAGCGCACAGTAAAGCCGTATACTAAGAGCAATTACTTTGTTTTATCCGACAGGTTTCATACATAAAAAATATTAAAATGTTTGACTTTTCCGTGATGCTTCTTCTCTAATATTCTAAAATTGCATCGCGGCTCTGTTCCTTCAAGCAAACAAAAACTCATCTATTTTTTTAATGTTTTATATCAAAACTTAATTTAAGGGCATCTTCCCACCCTCTTCTGTCATAATTAACGCCCACGCCCGTTGAAGAAGATAGAATGAAGAGGAAACTACTCATTAAATAGAGAGGATAAAACATCTCATCTTTTAGCTTCTTGCTCGACCCAATTTTTTTTTTAATCCGAATCCCTAAACAAAATGCACTTCCGTTTGACTCGCACAACATGATTAAAGGAACGCGAAACGAGATTTATTTAGATGGAGCGTTGTTTTTTCCCATATTAAAACATTCAGAAAAATTTTCTAACGGTAATAGTCACGTGACAACGATGGTTTCCATGGAGTGAGGCAGCTCGCGGCCTCAGACGTGCTGACTGATACTGCGCGTCTACTATCGATCCGCTCTCATCTAGACGGTATACCGCTCTACGAGAGCCACTGTTTGAATTTATTCTCATCTCTCCACACATCCTGCTTCACTTTCTTCTCTCCGGAACTAGAAAAGCAGGCAAAAAACATTTTTTATTTACTTTTTCACGGACTGCACAACCAGGAAGAATAATCATTTGATAGATATGGTCCAGTATACTTTCTGAAAAGCATCTGGAAACTCGTTAAATTGTGACAGCAAAATCCGGATATTTCTGTTTGACTGCAATTACAAAGCTGATTATATTTATTTAATCACCATGTCATCAAAAAACACACCTGTGAAAAAAGTACCCATTCACTTACAGGTAAGTTCTTTCTTTTTCTTCTATTGAGCATCAAGATGCTCATCCCTTTGAGGCCTGGATCCAACAGAACACCGGGAGGAAAAGGGAAAAATCCTTGAGGGTCACTGACCTAGAATGAATAAATTTCCCTAAATCTCTTAACTATATTAAATAGTTAAATTTCTCATCGGTGTTTATTAGAAAAATACAATGTTTGTGATTTTAAAAGTTTTGATAATTATTAAATTTGAAAATTTTATTTTTCTAGACGTATTTTATTATAATAATTAGTTAATAATATAAAATATTAACTCACGTTAAGTTTATGTGCAAATAATAGGAATAATGTTTAGGTTAATTTAATTTGTAAAATATTATCAATTTATGAAATGTCTTTATAATAATCTTGATCGTGCCCCGCCCACTGTAAAATTCTTTTGTAAAGTTTGCGATGGAAACTATTGGTTGAAGCATATGTTTCAATTTTTAAATTGTAATTTCTTCCTTTAAACCATATTTTAAATTAAAAAAAAGGAATTCTAAGTTTCTTTTCTAATTTGAAAATTAACTTATTATAAATAAAACTCCTTATAGCTTTTTATAAATGTTCGTATAAATGTATATTAATTTATGTATAAGTTCTTTTTATGAAACAAACGTATAGAGATTGGGGAAAAAAATCATGCAATGACATTTTGTATGCGTTTTTGAAATTAGGAATGACGAAATTAGGAATGAAATTAGGAATTTGTATGTGTTTTTGAAATTAGGTTTTAGTTTAAATTGGAATATTTGTACTTTTTAATTTAATGTAATAATTTCCGAAATTAAAAATTAATAACTGTATTTTTAAATATATTTTATTAGATAATAACGTTAATGACATCAAAATACGAACAAAAAATTCTCATTTTCATATAAATTCAAATTTTATTGATTCTTTTAAAACATTATTTTAAAAATTATCAAAACTGGCTTGTTAAAAGAAATTTCGTCTGTTTTGACTTTTAAATTCATATCAATAATAATAACCCTGTCAAGTAAAAAAAGAAATCTAAATAATAGTTTAAGGAGAATATTGCGCAGTTTTCTAAATTTACTTTATAATTTATATATATTTCTTCATAAAAATGTTTATTTTTTAGAACAATTGTGTTGTTTGTTTATCTATTTTTATAGATAATGAAAGAATGAAAATAAAATGTGAAATGATAAACTTTGGTTTTATAAGGTATTTCCGGTCGATAAGACAATATCGATAACCGATATTTAACATGTTGTTAAAGTACTAAGTAAATCATACAGAAATTTTAAAAAAATATTAAAACTATTGTTAAAATATGTCTAAAATAACGAGAGTGGTTTAACATTATTTCTTTTTCATTTATGTTACATTTCATTTAAAGCATGTAGATTAATATCAAAATAAATATGCATGTTTTTACATATTATGCATACAATAAATTATCAGGCCGCTGTTAACAAACATCTCCAGTAACAGTGTCTATGGTATCAGTGTCTCCTTTTAACAATGCTGTCTTATTAAAAAGTTAGTTTAGTTTCATATAATTTTTTATTAACTATTTTAAGTATAGATTAAAGCGTTTAGATTCATATAAAAATAAATATATATATTTTTACGTATCTTGCAGGTGATATGTTTACATAAAAGCATCACATAATTCTTGTTATTAAATGTTTTTAGTATATATTAAAATGTGTAGTTTCATATAAAACTAAATATATATGTTTCTACATATTATGCAAGTAATATGCTTACTTAAAAGTGTCCTATAATTTTTTTATTATTAAGTATTAAATTTTGATTAAAGTGTGTGGGTTCATATAAAAATAAATATATATGTTTTTACTTTTGCAAGTGATAAATTTACTTAATATTAATTTCTATAATTCTCTTTAAATAACTATTTTAAGTATAAACTAAAGTATATAGGTTGATATAAAAATAAATATATATGTTTTTACTCGTTATGCAAGTGATATTAATAACATATATTAACTTTTTTATGTAAAATTTAAAGTGTGTGGTTTCGTATAAATATATATATATATATATATATGTTTTTACTCGTTATGCAAATGATATTAATATCATATATTGACTTTTTTATGTAAAATTTAAAGTGTGTAGTTTCGTATAAAAATAAATATATATGTTTTTACACATTTTATGTTCGCTTACAAGAACCAAGGACAGGGATTTTTTCATGTGACCACAATGGTGGCTCCCGCTTAAACCTGTTGCATCGCTGATTGCGGATTCCGTTGGAATTGCCTTTGTTTCGGGAAATTTTCGAGTTAAATCTTATTTATATACAGCTGTGCTCACGAAACATATTGAGGTCACAGTTTTCACCTGTTAAACTCTAAATAAGAAAGATCACACTTAATGCTGTTACTTTTCGTTCAATTCATGCGTTTTGTTAAAATCGTGAGAATCTTAGAAACAACAGTAATTATGTTCTATGTAAAAAGAACTTGTAAAATGATATGCTTATAATTAAGTGTTTATTCGATTTAGGAAAAAAATAATTGCATGAAATAGTAGTTTATTGCATTGAACAATCCTATTGAATACTTGGTTCTTAGTTTTTTTTTAAATATTTTTTATTTAGTTTATTTTTATCATTTTTACTTATTTATTTTCTTTTTGCTGACTCTTTAAACAAATTGAGAGATTCTAATTAAAAACAATTATGCTATTTTTTTCTTCACTTTTTGTCAAAACGTTTTGCATTTTTTCGAATTAATTTTATTTTGAAAGCGCACAAGCAAATGTAAATACTGAATTATAATACTTGTTTAAAGAAGGAAATTTTTTAATCATCAATTAATTTATTTATTTGAATAGGTTCTGCTTCTAAAATTAACGAAAACCTAATGATTCAGATCAATACGAGATCAAATACAAAAGATTTTTTTTTTTAAAAAAAAGTTCTTTTTAAATTTATTTTTTAAAGAAAAATTTTGGCCTCATTTTCAACTATTATTAATCCATTGTTGGAAAAACTTGTCCAAAAATAAATAAATAAAATAAAATAAAAATTTGATTTGCTATTTCATCCTTCCATTTTAACTCCACTGCTTTTCTAATTGCATTAGACCACTTTGTTTGTGATCACTTCCTCAGTCGTTTGGTATCACAAGGATACAGGATACCAAACCAATATATTACCAGTTCTTCGAGCTATATGGTTAACCCATTGCTATTTTTTACCATCTGATTTTCTCGGTGGCATCGGAAATTTCTCGGAAAAAATTGTTAAATAACAATTTATGTAATTGTTATTTCACCATATTCAACCAAAACAGTCAAATAACAGTAAAAAATTATACTCAAAGTGTTAACTGTGAAAAAATGGTTAATTTACTGTTTTGATCTAATTCGTTTAAACAACCGGAATTTTATTCTCGCCAACTAGGCCTACGCCCAATCAGAATCAAGCGTACGTTCTTTAAAAGCTGAAAGTTACGCCGTATGATAAGGGTTACGAATTCATATTTTTATTTTCCGTCATCAGATACCTTATAATCTTATAATAATAAGTATGTGGAGCAAACATCATATGAAACCACCTAGTTATTTGCAGCTGGGTACATACTTTAATCGAGAGGGCTGATATGTCAATCTCGTAACCGACTGAACGAGGTTTCGAATCCTAGCGTTGATTCCACAATATTTCCTCCATTCTTTCAAAACATAAGGAGTCCAGTGTATTTCACTCCTCAATTGGTGACCCTGGACTATTTGTCTCTCATTCATGCATGGATGGCTGCATCATGAGCTGCTTAATACATATTCTAGTATTTTCTGTCTGTCGCGATAGATGACACCACTAGATGAACTATTTAAGTCCCAATCTACGGTTCAATTGAAAAAAAAAAACACTACTCAACCACAAGCTTAATAAAATAACGAGTTTAATGCATTTTTTGTGGTTTTGAAACCACCCTAATCGTTAAATGATTACAAAACCATATAGTTTTGTATTCACGTTTTTTCTTTTAACCATACCAGCTTTAAACAGTTTCAATCCCAGGAAGGTAACGAAATATTCTCAACAGTAAATTTTACGGTGAATAAAGTGTACAAACGGTTGCCGGTTATTTTAATTGCTGGTTAAATCTAACAGTGTGTGCTTATTGGGTTACTTGTGTTTCCCGCTTTCTTTCTTTTCTTGTTATGATGAATAAACAGCTTTCCATATTTCTTTCAGTTGTTTTAAGTCTTAGCTTAGATATTCTGGTGCAAGTTCAAATTTCTGCGCCTTAAGTTAATGCGGGTAGCACACATCATTGAAAACTTTCCTCTTCAGACAGATTGGTATAATACTCTTCGGTAGGGTGCTATTTTTGCCAAAAGAACTTTAACCTATTTTGATTCTCCAGTTAATTTCATGCATGATTTTGTTATCCATTCTTAATTCTTGTCCTAAATAAACATAATTCTTCTATCTATACTCCATTAATTTTGAATAAGCATTAAACATGACTTATTTCTGAAACAATTCTTAATTAAATACTATCTTCTGATAAATCTAACTGGTTGTTTTTCCTCGTTCCATATGGTTGCCTGGGATAATTTAAAAAAATGCGTCTGCAAGAAAAGGCTAGTGATGGTGATAATAATAAAATTCGTCAAAAATTTACGCAGAAATAAAAATATTTTGATCTATGAAATTTGTCATATAGAAAATTGTCATGAATATTGTCATATTTTCAAAAACATTTGACCAAATTTAATTGAGGGTGAGGGATGTTTATTGTATCTTCTGTAATCCTGTATCTCCTGTAAATATCTAAGAATTTACAGACTTCATTTTAATTGGTCTGACGGTACGTGCTCTAACATTTGTGATTGTTCCGAATAATTTTTTCTTGTGTTAGTTAAGTGTATCAAAAATGTTTGAAATTAATTGAATTTTTATAAAACTTTAATCGAATATTAAGAATAAAACCATTGATATTTTGACTGTTTAATATATGTTTTTTAATATTAT